ACATGATTTCCCCATATTGCAGAGGTGTGATGTTTCCTGCACATTTGGGTCAGGTCATGTGCGTTGGCCTACATTGATAGATCCCCTCGGCTTTGTGGAGACCGATTGAGTTTCCTGAAAGTCCAGCGAAGAAGCTTTGGGCTAATCCAGTTTCTATCTGTGCAGTATCTCACTTACTGTAGCTCTGGCTCCCTTGTGAGAAAGGCGCAGTGTCTCTAAAGGGGGCGATATGTCTACAGGCGATAGTTTGATCTTTGGTCTGTGGAGGATTTGTAAGGCTTTTGAAGGATCGTTTCAACTTTCACACTTTTACTAAAGACCGGGCATACCAGCTGTAGTTATAGGGCACTGGTAAAAAGTATCTTAAGTATCTATGTATATGGTATGTGGTCCATTCAGTATTATATTTCAAAACTCAAAAAATAAAAGGCTGACTTAGCAATTTTGTGTAAACAAAAAATGACAATATTGTTAAAGGTGTATTCTGTAAATTTTCTGTTTGAGGTCTCCATTGTGATGATGTTGCTTTGCCTGGAATCTTACAGTCTGGCTTTTATCCATTCTGTATTTTCAATTATAGGTGTTTTATTGCCAAAAAAAAAAGCTTGAAAAACATGCATTATCCCTTTGAGCTGGGTCACCACTCCACAGATCTGACTTGTAAAGTGGATTGGTAGAGCCAGCTTTTTGTCTCCATGGAGATAGATATGTTTAATGCATTACTCTAGCAGAGAGGTGTCAAACTGAAATTCACAAAGGACTGAAATTAAAAACTTGGGACGTCGTGGCCAAACTAAATATTTATTGAAAAATTTCAGCAACATCTGCATGTTTTCTCTTCTTTCGAGATATGTAATGTTAAACTTGTTCTTATTAAAATAAATGTTTAATAATAGTTTGTCTTAAACATTGAATTCAGAACAAGCAAAATATAAAATAACACAAATTTAAATAAATAATGTCTCTATAGTCTATCTGTAGCTGGTGGGCAGCTCTAATACATATTTGATATGATCTCGTGAGCCAAATATAATTATATCACATTCCAAATTTGGCTCCTGGGCCTGAGTTTGACATGTCTGCTCTAGCAATTCAAGGCAAAGTAATGATACTCAGACCCTCCATAATATTGCACCTTAATCTTTTTTTTTTTTTTTTTTATAAGCTATTTATAGGCTATAATTGAACTTTACAACCAGAATTGCAAATCGTGTGTAAAATCTGCTTGCTAAACATTTAACTAAAGTAGCATTTAAAGCTCATAAACGTCTATTGCACGCTGCAAAACTATCATTGACAATATAGTGTGAATTGTGCAGACTCAGCTCCCACAGCGCTCCTTTCCAGAGCCTGTGAGCACCTACGGAAGCCCTGGAGGCTCATGCTTTTGTGTTGCTACAAAGTCTATGACAAGGCTAAAGGTCATGTAAACATTTGAGATCAGGTTAAATGGTTTATCGCCAGTGGGTCAGATAATGATTTGATTGGAGGAAGTGCGCGTTATCATGCTAGTTGTGAGTGGATTAGTTGTGAAAAGTGCTTATAAACTTTCTGCTTTAATTGTCACTGCAAACTATTTCATATAAAGTAGTTCTGTTTTTCCTGTTTTTAAGACCATGGAAATTATCTAGAGCATCTTTAAATGTGAAATTACAGATTTGTTTATTTATTCTTTTCTCTTCAAAGCTCAGTATTCCCTTTGGTTTCCCCTTTAGATTTTCACACAGTGCTCCCTTTAATGTCGTCCATCCCACCGAAGCAATGCTTTACCGTCACACCCAACATTCCTGCGGAGCCTTAATGCTTTTTGACCCACTTCTCTTACCATGGCCACCGGTGCCACCTCATCCTCTTGCCTGTACACTGCCCCTTTCTCCGCTCCAACACTGTTAATTACAAGTCCCGCTATTGTCCCAAGTGTGCATTCAGGGCCTCTTTTCACTGGGTTATTTTTAGCAGCCGAGCTAAAGTACTGTACTGCTCTAGCATTGAGACATGAATAGGACCTGACTCACGCTGGCCTTGTCCCGTGACCCTCTGTGTGCGCCGCTTTGTCCCTCCCCACTCACCAAAAAAGGACCAATGAGTTCTAGGGTTCTCTTTTCACACAAGAGTACACAGTTGAATAGGTACTTTTATTTTAAAAAGAGTGTATTTACTTCTATGGGGTATTCACTGCAAACACATAACATATTTAGATCACAGTTGTACTTTTTATTGTTTTGGAAATACTATATCTGCTGAAAACAACATATTAGCATGTTATTAGTTTCACTTCACACTCTGTGTCTCCAGTTGCTCTCTGTACTAAGTCGGTACCTCTTCAGCGCACTATCACAACACATCCTACTAATGAAACTACCATAAATTGCATCAGGTTTGTGAAGTTGTAGTGTATTGTACTGAATCATGCTTTTGTATATTTATGAAGAACAGTCATGTGGGAGCATGGGTGAAGTAGGCTTGTGGGTTGAGAGTTGGACAAAATCATACAAGGACTGTAAGGAGGGTCCAAATATAGCATGGGAAAAATTGCTAAACATGCATGAATGACTTCTAAAACATGGTAGAAAAGCCAAAATGAGTATTAATAGGGATGTAACGATTTCAAATTCAAATCTCTCGGTACAATATTATCACGATATGCATCTCACAGTACAATATTTATTGCGATATTTTGAAGAGACTAATATAATTGTATAATTGTAGATGTAGATTGCTTTTAAAATACCTTTAGAAGATTTTGGTGTGAATTATTTCCCTCATAATCCCAAGAATTCAAGTAAAAAACATATTTCTTCATGTTTCCTGCACTGAAATGAATCATGGGATATGTAGTTTCCGATGTTTATAAGCTGTTGCTCCTATAAAACCAGGCATTTAAGCAAAGGAACTTGTAATTCAATATATTGTGAGACTTTTGATGATACAATATCACAACATTTCAGTTATTGTTACATCCCTAAGTATTAATAATCTATAGCTGCTGCTGTAGTAGTAGTAGTAGTAGTAGTAGTAGTAGTAGTAGTAGTACACCTGATTGTCTCCGTGTTAAAAGGCATGCTATGGAATATTCTAGGCAAAACAGAAAGATCTCAATGGAAACAAGCTGCTGGTGGACCCTCCAAAAGAAACACATAGTGCATTTTTAAATATTAGTAAAAGTGAAGTAATTAAGATGCAGTATTGCTACAAAAAGCACTCACAATTCTAGTAATTATAACAGAATTTGGATGGACTGACTGAAAATATAAGCGGGATATGCTAAAGATACGATATATATGTCTCTTTGAATGAGTAAGAATTGTCTATAGCCAGAACAAGCCCTGCGTTTAGACTCTTACTAGCTGCAATAGTGTAAAATTCTAATATAGGGATTGTAGAAGTTAGTGGCAGTAGTGGTAATTGTATGAGCTGCAACTTTCCTTCCATTGTGCAGTCTCAGCACTTTTCCTCGAGTCCAGATTTGAAGCCTCCCACGTTTTCTGGAGTCTAAAAGTAAACCTGATTGCACGTTCCCATCCCGACTATTTTGATTCAGTCAGCTGTAAATTTAGCTCAGATTGCATGGACGCTACAGCCGTGGAGAGAGTTTCTGAACAATGGGAATTCTCCTCTGAGCGAAACTGGAGACCTTAGACCTGAGCCAAAGGTCAAGTTTTACGACATTTCCCAGACAGGTTGACTTAACTAATCTCACAGCATCATTCACGAGAGGAAATGTACAAAGCAATTAAACACATGCCTTTGAATCGTGGGAGAAAATTCACAGTAAAATTAATGCAAAATTAGGCTAGTATGAATGGTCCTACATTATTCAAAATTGACTCTTGTGAGCTTTAAGCCATATAATAATGCTTATAATTGACTTACAAAACATTTTCAACTTAAATTGGGGTGAAATAAGTAGAAGTAAGCAATAAGTAGCAAGATTAGAATCATTACAATTTGATAAACCTATCCTTGTTTTTTAAAATAATCAGTATGTATTGTTGCCATAGGACAGGGGTGTCAAACTCAAATTCACAGAGGGCCAAAATTAAAAACTGGGACTAAGTTGTGGGCCAAACTAAATATTTATTGAAAAATTTCAATACCATCTGCATGTTTTTTCTTTCGAGATATATAACTTTGAATGAATGTAAAATTAATGTTTAATAAAAGTTTCACTTAAACAATGAAACCAGAACAATACAATATAAAATAATAACAAAATTTTAAATAAATAATGTCTATAGCCTATCTGTAGCCGGTGTGCCAGCTCTAATACATATTAGATATGGTCTCATGGGCCAAAAATTATTATATTACGGGCCAAATTTGGCCCTCAGGCCTGAGTTTGACATGTCTGCCATAGGAATTCACAATTTAAAACAATATATCCTGTCTTTTGAATGGTGAAAAGACCTCAAAATGTTGCCTCAAACTTGAAGCTGAAACCCACTAATAATCTGTTCTAAACCAAGTCCAACAATAAAAATCTGTAACCCATAATTGATCTAAAACTAAATGAAACATGAGAGAAGTCTTTCCAACATTCACTGGATCCCATGACCACAATCTGAGACCCACATCTCTACAAAGTACCTTGACATGGTATATTTTGTTTACAGTTAAAGTATGGACCTTCAAGGCACTAAAATCAGTTCTTCTGTTTAGTCTTTTTTCCCATGTGACAAGTCTAGTGCATCATCTGCTTCTATTGTGACATTTAATAGTTTTTTACCCCAGATGCCCTTCCTTGTGTGTCTAATTCATGTGGACTACGTTACTTCATATGACTGTATTTTTTGTATATCAATTTCAAGTATGTCAAGACTGCTATTGGGCTTAAATTATTAGGATTACATGGCAAGAATCAAATTACTTCTAGTAATGTTTTTGGCAAGATCTCCCAGTCCCCTACCAGGACTGATCTCCAAAGCATTCACTAAGTTCTAAACAGGGACACCATGTTACTGCCGGTGGGTACATTTGAAAAACATTGACGACAACAAATGTAAGCTCAGAACAAGTTGTATTTATTTCATCCAACTTAACAAAAAGGCATAAATCCATGAACTTTGCACAATAAATATGAAATTCATCTTGAACACACATAAAAAAATAAACAAGACGGCCAAACATTGCATTGCCTTTAGAAAAACTATAAAACATTCCCTTCTTAAGATGAGCAAATTGACTTAAATAATATAAATAAATACGTGCACTTGGATTTGTCATGTGAGAATCGTGTTAAGTTCTGAGTGAATTGGTCTTTCCTTCTCTCCTCTCCTCCTTTCCTTCTCTCTCTCTTTCTCTCTCTCTCCGGTGCTGCAAACCACATGTCCTTATCTGCGGGCATGACTGAATTTCCGGTTTCTTTCTCGGCAAATCGCGTAGTCACCCTTTGGAAATCCTGGAAGGCGCTTTATAGCTGAGTCATGCTTGCCTCAGCTCTGACCCGCTAAATTTGCAGCTAGCTTCCTGGTGCACTTTGGTTAGATTTTTTTCTCTCTCCTCCTCCTCCTTTCAGAGCTTGTTTCCCCTGTATGATCCACGGAGGGGCCCGAAGGAGTCCAAAGACAAGACATTAACACTTGTGCAGTTAATATCCCATTTTTTTTTGCACACATAGTAGTTTAAAATCCAAGAGTTTTCATCGGTCAGGGAGGTTGATGACTGGTACCCACTGGTCCAAGCAGCGGCTATCTCTGCAGAATCTGTTGACTTTGCTGAGTGCTGGGTCTTTGCAGAGAGAAGACTGAGGGTTCTGAAAGTAATAAAGAGATGATGGTTAGTTAATGAAGCTTTAGTTATCATAGTGTTGTCATTATACTAAAATTTCAATTTCGATGCTAAGGAATAGACTCAGTACTAGACAAAACAATGTGATTTTCAACATTAAAACACAGTACTTTCTTTATCCATGTGGCCTTATATTGTATAATCCAACCACTGTCCTATGAATGTGACTTTTAAGTATTGATATCTGCACAAATCTCATTTCGGTACTAGCTTAAGTATTGTTTAGTATCTGATTTTTGATACTTTTGACGTCCCTAGTTCACCCTTTTTAAGTTGTGATTCTGACTTATAAATTATTATGTCAGAAAAGTTCCAAATATTGTCTTATCTATCTTATCTTGCTGCAGTGTTCAAGATTGCATAGATCACTGGTTTGTCTTTAGATTCTTATAAGCAAACACTTAACTCAGTCCTATACAAACAAATCCGATTTGCAAAGAGTGAAGAATGAAGACAGGCAGGAGCAATTTCTCCCAGCTTTATTTAACATACAAACTCCATGGCAAATGCTAGCAACGGCTCTTTTCAGCCCTTGCCAGTAACAAAGCCCCCACAGATACCTGGCCAAACAATAGCTGCCTTTCACAGTCTCGTGGGAAGTGAGCAATAGGAAGCCCTGAGCAGTGTTGTAAGCACTTGTGACTAATGACACTTACTGTAACTAAAACGCAGTGCAGGTCCAAGTCGGCGGTGGGCTTCACCCCTCCGCCCAGAATCTCAGCCAGACGCCGCATGTTGCTCACTCGCAGGATGTTGATGTCATTTTCGCAGCAAAACGCCTGGATCAAGGTGAAGTGGATCTGGAGAGCGACATCCTCCTCCTCGTCCGTGGCTAACAGGCAGAGGACCACGTTGTCTGGGTCGCTGTTGGGATAAGAATAGAAGATATTAACTTACATGGTCTCTCAATACCATTCATTTTATCTATACGATATTAAGACAAGTTTGCACACAGTAGTGACCTATAAAACATCCCTTTATATCTATCTACCATTGCATATTACAGTTTGAAGCTAAAAAAAAGTTAATAGTAGGTCATCTTTTTTTGCACTGTAGGGCAGACAGCACATAACTTATAGGTTTGGAGGTCATATTATATGAATGTGGTGAGAGTTGTCAGTTTTAGGTTGCATAAATGAGAAACAAACTCTCCAAATATATACAAAATTACATGTTATTACTCAATTTGCAACCTATTCAAGTGTGATAATAAACTGTTTGAAAAGTTAGTTGCTTTGTCTTTACCTGTATGCAATGAATAATCCATTTCAACAGATCAAATCTAATCTAATGGATTTATCTTTTGCAACTTTACTATGTTTTTATAAGCACAGGTAAGGTTCATTGTACTCTTGTAACTTACGCATTGAGTGACTTGGCTGCCTCATAAACTCCCACAGTGATGCAACCCTGAGGCAATGCAGAGCTCAGGACCTCTTCTAGCGCAGTGGCCACCGATTCCATCCTGGAAAACACAAAATACGTCAATCTGGAGCAATTTCACAACATCTCACTGAATAATGACATTTGCATATCAGATATTTATGATAATTTAGGCATCATACGAGATAAAGTTGCAAGATATGAATAAAATATAAGATACGTGTGGCGTGGGATGCTTTTTGAAGAGAAAATAATCTAAGGAGCACGCACTTTATCAGGTTTTCCAAGAGCGCTAGCGAAAAAAAGCAGCTAGCAAAAACTGATTAGTTAGCTAAAAGCCGGTTAGCATGTTAGCGGCGCGCTGACGTTGGCTGGACTTTGCACTTGTCCAAACTTGTCTCTCCAAATGATGAAACACCGGGCAACAGCGTGCATTGAAACTAACACTAACATTAACACCAAAATCCACGATGGTAAAGTAATCTCGTACTCTTAAAAAGCATGCAGTGTTGGAAATTTGCAGCGAAAATGTTAAAAAGTGAAATGCGTAAAACGTCTCCAAACTATTCCAAATTACGCATAGAGATACTGATGCAAAAATGTTCGCTAACGTGTAATTTTGTATTCTTAAAACACATGCATTGTTGGAAATTTGCAGCGAAAATGTTAAAAACTGAAATGCGTAAAACGTGTCCAAAATAGTCAAAATTACGCATGGAGATATTGATGCAAAAATGTTCGCTAACCTGTCCGATGAGTTTTCCCCACTGTTTTCTTCAAAAGTCATATTGCACATCCGTAAAGCGTTAGATCCAATAATATCCAGAGCGGAGATGTGCCGTTTTGGTGCGTACTCCTCTGCGCGCTGTCAGCTTCTGTGTGACCGTGCCGATGCGTGCACCGCTTGTATCAGCAAACACCACAGACAGCCAGCCCAGGACGAGAAAGGAGCCGCCCCGGTGCCAGGAACATTTACATACGCTGCTCCCATTGGCCCCGTGGTAATACTACAGTAAAAACACACTTCTCCAGCCCAGTCTCTCTACACGAGTCCTTGGACACTGCGACCCCATGTGGTTTCGGTTGCAGCCCGTGTGCAAACTCGTGTGACCTCAGCTGCGAGGTGAGCAGGACGAAGCAGAGCCAGTTAGGTCACAGTGCAGGCTTTGTCACACAAGACTGCGTTTCAACCAGGTATTATAATGCTAAATAGATGCCCATTAGAGGGAAATGATTAGTCTAGGCCTATTTGCGGTGTCTGTTGTGGATTAAAAATATCTTACATGCATTTTAACTTGTGTAAGATCTGCCTCCATGCAGCCTCTCCCCCTGTAGATGTTAATGTTCCACAGCAGGGCTTCTCAGTAAAGACAAGCAGCTGCCTGGTGACAACCCCAGGTCAAGTTAGGTCAGATCTGTGAGGAGGGGTTCCCAGTCAGAATATAGTCTTTAACAGGTTTAAGGTATTTTATTCAGGTATTTATGAGCAATGCATGTGTAGCTGAATAAATGCCAGTTAGATAAGTTTCATGCCATACTGTGGAACATTTCAGGCAAAGCAAAAGCATAAGCAGAGGCAGACTAAACCAAAAAAAAAAGTTTAGTCTGCAGCCTTAGTGCAGCCTTAAAATGGAACTGAATAATGACTAATCTTGGACAGTAGCCGATGTCTTAGCTACACACAATACAAAAACCAATGATCTCAGCATTCATGAGCTGGACTAAATGATTCAGCATGACTTGAAAAGGGTGCACTGAGTGTAGCTACACAGATGAATTAACCATTGCTTTCTATTTGCATATAGTATATTGACTTTTTGGTGACAGGTCTACATCTTCTGCTTTCCTCTGCAGATAGACAGAAATGGACCCAGTGGCCTGTCTCCTGACCCAAGATAATGCAGTAGTGAGTGTCCTGTTTATAAGCCTGTCCCTCTTGACCCTCATGAGTGGAGTGAGGCGTAGGAGACACAAAACAAATGATCAGCAGGGGCCCCATCTGCTCAATATGGCACTTGGACCACACACAAAGCACATGTCTTTCCAGAACAAATAGAGACAACTGAGCTGCGAATCAATTCCAATCAAGAAGGATCAAGTGAGTAACAATTTTTTTTAGACTTGCACATCAACAATTTTAAATAGTACATTCTTTCTAAAATTGTTGTTGGCCATTGCATAGGTTCAATCCTTTTAATTTCCCTTTTATAACATAACAGTTTTGGTATTTTGGTTAAAAAGAAGGGTTGTCAAAAAAATCTATACCAAGATACTAATCAATACTTGAAGGTGCACAATGAAAGCTTTCTGATGTTGATGTTGATGATGATGTCCCCCTCATGCTTTTCTCCATGCAGGTTATTGTTTTGCTTGGGATGTTCTAATGTATGGTAACACACACTACCAGTCAAAAACACCCTAATTTTTCCAGTTATTTGTTGCAGTTCAAGTCATGCAAGTCAGATGAATAACATGAAATGGTACAAAGGTAAGCACTGAACAGCTAGAGGTAAAAAAAAAAAGATTAAAAAAAATAACAAAACACAAGTCCAAGCTCTGCCAAAACTACCTCAGGAAAAAAAGAACAAGATGGTAAACTTGAAAACATGGAGTGTCCAACACGGTCTCCAGACTTAAACCTCATCATGCTGGTTTGGAATGAACTGGACAGAGGAGTGAAAGCCAAGCAACCTACAAGTGCCACACATTTATGGCAACTTCTGCAACAGACTTGGAAAAAACTTTCTGAAGAATATTTGATTTCTATTGTAAAAAGAACGAGCCACGAGTGTGTTCAGCTGTTATATCTGCCAAAGGTGGACACTTTCATGAATCAAAAGTTTAGGATTCATTTTGGTAAACAGTAAACAGTAAAAAACTTGAAAAAGTGTAGTGTTCTAAAACTTTTGAGCGGTAGTGTATCTATTCTGCATTGATTTAATCAGACTATGTGTTTGTATTGTTAAGAAACATATCTTGTTACTCCTCCCCATAGATCGGACCTGTAACTTGGCCTGGTGGCGTCTCCTGCTCGTCTACATGGAGATATATAAGTTTAATGTCATCAGTCAGTTTATAAAGGCAAGCTGCTGGTGTACCTTCCTAAAGAAAAGTTACAGTGTACCTTTAAACTAGTATAAAAATAGATTGGCCTTCTGATTTGAACCAGTATTGATGCTGTAAAAATATATGGATGGGACAAAATTAAAACTTTCTTGAATAGTTTTAGTATTATTTTGATCTATGGGCTATTTACTCATAGGCTATAGAATTACATGATAATAATAGAAAGACTAGTATTATTTTTGTGCTGAAAATTGCGTTATATATATATATATTTTTATCTCTGTGGAGTCTAAATCTAACCTAGTAACCTACATTTACCCTGTTTTCTGACCATTTTTGCCATCTCTTCTTACACAGGTCAGCAGCGCCCTCTGTTGGTTTGTTTGCTTCAGCACCATTTCTCCCTTTTCTTGAAAATGACGGTGAGACTTGAGGCGAGCCGCATTCTTCGTCGCTTTTTCCTCTGCGCTAAAACTGATCCTAGACCAGCCCATAACTTTTCCTCTCTCTCCAGAGTTGTGGCATCTCTTCTACCGGCAACGTGGCACGACGCACTCATCTTTAACTGTATTTTCCACTTTACCAATGCAACCTCAGCGCACGTATGTTTTCAGCGAATTTAAAGTGGAGCTAGTTGCAGTAATTATGTCATTAAAGGAGCTAGTTTGAAGGCGTTTTTCTGCTTTCTTGACTTGAGCTGTCAAACCCAGGGCGTACTCCGTTTTGTTTACCCTGCCCTTTGACTCATCAAGGGCCCGCCTGGGATACCACATGCAAACATAGGCACAGATTGAAGATGGTAAGTCTTGATTTCTGCTTATCCTTACATTTTAATTATAAATCAGTGTCTTAATATTTTGACCATGTTTTACTATGAACTTTAATCCCTTGTTATCTGTAGGGCTACTGCTGGTGCTATCAGAGAGTTGTTTCTTATCAGCTTGGGAAATGATGTGGCAGTTGCAGTTGCACTTTGGGTTTACCGGACATTGTAAGTATCCAAAAATAACAAGCAAAACAGCGTTGGTTGTGTCTACGTTTTCTTTACTTTAACTCTCATTTTCGCTTGCCAGGTTTGAAATCGAAGGATGGAGCACAGAGGTCGACCCAGGTCACAAATGGGTCATCCAAAAAACAGGGACCCTAGACCGGATTATTACAAGTATCCGAACCAGGAGAGAGGGCAGTGCTACCCTCCACCTGATCCCAGGGAATGGGACAGGAGCTGGGGCCATCCTGAGTCACACTTCAGACCCCCAGTGACCAGTCCTGTCAGGAGAGATCCTTACGCCTATGGACCTCAGCACTATCCCTACGGTTACGGATGGGCAGAGCAGCAACCGCCACATTCAAGGTAGGGCAGTATTAATTAAGATTTATTGGTGTACAATTTCATGTCCATTTTATTACATTTACACAGTAAGCATTATTAGTTGTCTATGTTTTTATTGGAATATGACTTTAAAATGATAAAAAAAAATTTTTTTAAAGAACCTTATTGAAAACTCAGCACTAATTTTAAACCAAAAACAAATTGTTGTGCACACAGAATAGATCAGAAATAACTTAATACTAAATAAATATACATCGTATTGAGTTAACAGTAGGGGTGTGCAAAAATATTGTTTGTTTGATGATATAGTATCGATATCACTGGCTGTAGTATTTTTAGATATATTTTGCTAAATTATTTTGTGTAAGAGCTACAGTTGTTGACATTTTCACTGTTTTGAGTAAAATGGGTGTTTTTTATATTAACTTTGCACAAACTTAGTAGACTTTGTTGACTTTTAGAATCACAGCCATGATTTAGGCCTTGTTTTCACTGAACCATATCGAATCGATTTGAAATATATCATATCAAGTTGTATTGGATCAAAAGTGCATTATTTCAAAAAGCGTATCATATAGTAGTCTATTTACCGAGGTCTGTATCGTATCAGCAATTTCTTAATGATACCCAGCCCTAGTTAAACGGTAATTAGTCATATTCAGTAAGCAAGTGTAAGTGTAATCTAGTTATAATCAAACCTATAAAAATAATAACAATACTGATCAATTGTGAACTATTTTGCATTAACATAGAATATTAAAGCCATAGTATGCAACATTTTTGTCAAAAATAGAATAAAATAAAAGCATGTTTTTGTTTTGTTTTGTTTTGTTTTGCATTTATTGCACTGAATACATGTGCCTTATTGTGAGCATATTTGCATCTCCACAAACCTGACTCTTATTTGACCTGGTTTCTATGGAATGACATAAAGCATCTATAAAGTATGGTTTTAACTTTCCATTTCCTTGGACTCATGCAGGTGACTTTCCATCTCAGTAAAGTTCCATACTATGACTTTACCTGTAACTATACACAGCACTGACATTGATAATACCACATGCATGCATTCGGTCATAAAGTGTATGGGGAGAACTTGAGTAGACAGTGAGTTCAGATAAGGCCAGGCTCTACAGAAACACTTACAGAGAAGTGTTTTTTTTTTTTTTATTGAGCAAAGTATTATTTATACGATTCTACATTAACCTAAGCAGGGAGACACTCTTGACATTTAACAGTTGCAAAATGCTTGTAGTGTTTATAGCCACTAGTCATGTTAATTGCTTTTTCCAGTAGTATCTATGAAATACTGTCCAGTGTCCTTGGACAAACACACCAGGTATATCTCCCATCTAATATCTACAAACCTAAAAGCTACTAGAAACATACCTCTCTACTCACTTGTCATGTCTCATTACTACTAGATTCCTATAGTATTGTGACATATACAGTTTTTTAATGCAATTCTTATCTACAATGATTGTTTTCAAATAATATCATAATCAAAACCATTTGTGAACTTTTACCGTTTAACTGAGATGCATTATAGACAAGAATAGCTTTTGTTGATATGCTGATCATTAGGGGTGTAACGATATCCAAATCTCACGATACGATATTATCACGGTATGAACCTCACGGTACGAGATTTATTGCGATAGTGTGGGAAAGCTCACGATATGGTGGGAGGCTCACGATTAGGGATGTAACAATATCCAAATCTCTCTGTAAGTTTTTTTCATGATGTACATCTCACGGTAAGATATTTATTGCGATATTATGAGGAGGCTGCGAACAAAATATGTTAATATGCTGCTTTTTCCTCTTAAAATGCCTTGGCAAGAATTAATGCAAAGAACTAAGACTTAAAAGTGCTTAGAACTGTTATTTCTTCATGTAGTCTGTGCTGAAATGGAGCAAAGAATCATGGTCTATGTAGTTCCCTTTGTCTTTTTTTTTTAGCTATTGCTGCACCATAACTCTTAATTTAAGCAAAGAGACTTGTAATTCGATATATTGTGACGGTCCACGATATCATTGTGAGAACTTTGACGATACGATATCATGATATTTCGGTTATTGTTACATCCCTACTGAACATGATTACAATTTGTTGATTTCCCATCACAGTATTTCAAATTTAAAAAACAGATACACAATACATGAATACCGTAATAACGTTATTTTATTTTTGCACGCCGTTTTGTCAATAGTTTGTACAAATTGTCTTGTGTTTGTGTCCAGACATGGGTATGACTACTCAGCCTATGGTCAGTGGGACTACAGGGACAACTATGGCTACTACCAGCAGGACTACTACAGAGGACAGCACCAGCACCCAGGTACACACCCGAATGTTTACATATATTTACATTTTTTGTATGTGTCTAAACTAAAAGCAATTATGTTCATGACATTTTTACAGATGGTGGTCAGTGGGGACAACAGGAGCCCTGGCAAAGGGAACAGTACCAAGAACACGCACAACAGAAAAGCATTTCAACAAACACAGAGGAGAGGTATGGCTTAAAGACTGGGGTGGTGTACATGAGTTAAATGACGTAGTTAATAAATTTTCTTTGTCTGATTTAAGTAAGTAAGTAACATCATATGCACATTATGTTATATTTAAACCTTATACACAATGCACATTTTGTTATTTGCATTGTATTCCTATTACAATGCAAATAACAAAATGCTTAAAGTCAAAATCTTTATACAGCCATTGACTCCACCCAGATATGAGGTAAACGTGTTCAAATCAAATATATTTTTTTACTGATAACAATTCTGATGCTGATTTATTCTTGATTTGAAAAAAAAAAACACTGGACATGATGGCTCGTATTTATGTTATAATTTGGTATTTTGATTCTCAAGTTGATTATCCACTCAGAAAGCGGAATGAATTTCACATAAGGGTTCACATTTGGGTTGTAAGTTTCTCTCTGCTCTGAATGGTCACTCCGTAAACCCCAGCTAAAATCAGAGCTAGTACAGAATACTGAGAATGAGAAAAACTTTTGTGTGTCCTGTTGTGACTAGTACCTTTAGACAAACTTTATTGATCCACCAGGGAAATAGACTTTGGACTTGTGACTTGAGAGTCAGACTTGACTTGGGAACATTTTTAAGACTTGAAATTCTATTCTGATTAATGATTAACACTAAGACAAAGGAAAAAGTATATATATAAATTCATAAATAACTTAAAAGTCACTAAAATCTAATAAGATTTGCTGATTTTACATGTTTTTAATTGTTTTATATGTTTCTGCTTGTAACATAACTTTATATGTGGATGAATGAAATGTGAAATGTGGAACCTGCCTCTCAAATCTGCAAAGCAAATTTACCTATGGGTACAAATAAAGCAACCTAACCTAACCTAAATTGCAAAGGTCTAAACTATATTTGGTACTTTGGTTTAAAGACTTGAAATTACTTGATGCTCAAAGCAGATGATTTGAACTTGAACTTGTCTGTCTTTGACTTAGGACTTGACTCGAACTTGAGGTCAAAAATTTTAAACTTACTTGAAACTTGCAAAACAAAGACTTGGTTCCACCTCTGGTATGGAGTTTGGTATTAATGTAGTCATACTCTATATTTTATTGAAACTGTAAGAGCACAGGCTACATACACTTATTTTAAATGGCCCATCTCAATATTGTAGCCCACTAAATACTCATAGTAACATTTGTGATCATGGCAAGACTAAAAAGTTATCACAATTAACAGTTAATAAATTAGGAATAGACAGGTGTCCTCGACTGAGCAATTGACTTATTAAACTGCGAAACATTGTATGGGCAGAAACAATTTTGCTGATTATTTCATTGTTGTTTTTAGGTATGACCCAAGGAAAGACGGCTCACAAAAATACAAAGACGACTATGAGGACACTACAAACAAAGAAAATGAGGACAGTAACTCCTCTTATTATTTGGGGACATTAGAAAGCTCCAAAGCCTCGGGTCTGTCGTCCAGCAGCATCGAACTCAGTCAGTACATCAACGGGGCAGAGCAGAGTGAGCTTACGCCTCTGCCTGTGCCGGCTGAAACAGGTATGTTTAGAAATATTATTCATTTTGATTGGTTTTATTGTCATTGTTGAATTTGCGATTTTTTTGTGTCTTTAGAACAAAACCACCAATTGTCTGCACCATTGAAGTATTCCATCCCTCATGCAGTGGTCAGTTTTGGACCAGCTGGACAACTGCTCCGGGTCTGTCCAGGTTTCACAACGCAGAAGAATGTCAGCCAAGTGGAAATACACAATATGGAGGTACAGTACTATACATGTTACATACCACTGTACATACCATTGTTTATTTACCATTTTACCAGTTTTATACACACTGGACTGGGGTGACTTTCTCATTCATTAATTGTTTATATTATATAGATTTTATGGAAGATAATTTGTTCCATTAGGTTTTGAATTTTAAATACAGCTGAATTTCTCCCTTTGAATTTTTTTTAACTCTGAAAAATGATGTGTGAAAAATCCCTCAGTCATCCAGGTAGAATGCATGGCAAAAGAAGAAATTCAATTTGTCAGCTGGACAAAAGTTTATTTTGGTCAAATATGTTTTGCTTCTTGGATGAGCCATTGTCTGAAAAAAGTTTTGAAGCACATATATTTTCAAGCCCTCAAATTCAACAGTCAAAATTCAGAGAGCGAAATGTGCAGTGAAAAATTTGACAGCACAAATCCAGGATGCCAAGGCACAAGCAATCTATCATGTGACGGAGAAGGACAGAGGCTGTTTCCTTTTGGCCGTTCTCATCTGTGGGCAGGGTTTACACTTAAGAAATAAAAAAGAGGAGGTTCTGATGGTGATAATTCTGACCAATCAAATCAGTTCACTGCACCATTTTCTGCTTATTACGAAGTTCAATCAGATCACTGCGGATCGATTGCATAGGCCTTGGTCACATTTTTCTATAGTGCTTTTCCACCTTCAAGGCACTCAAAGCACTTTACAACAAGGAACCACTCACCCATTCACACACACCGACACTGTGGGCAAGGAATGCTCTACCATCTGAGCTACTGCCGTTCCCTGGATCTTTTCTGCAAATTTCTTTCACTGTGAATTTTACACTCTGAATCTTGACTGTTGAATTTGAGTGCTTGAAAATATTTGTGCTGAATATTTAAAAGGTTATTTTTTTATATTGAATTTTAAACACTTTGAAAATAATTCATATTCAAATCCGCAAAGTTTCCTCAAGTTTCCAAAGTGCTTCATACTTCACAAAGTAATTACCATTTATCCTTTACTACTGTCAAAAATATTAAATAATATTGTTTAACTTTTGTTCTTTACTACATCATTCCATATATCATACTTAATATATTTGATGTCTTCTGTATGTATCAAAAATGTACAATAGAAAGTAATAGAAAGTAAATAAAGAAGAAAAATTTGGACTGGTAGTGTATATCATTTAGACTTGAACAAATACAGGGAACATCAGAACCACATTCCCTGCTCTCACCAAAGTTATAAATCCCAAACCATGAGTTGGCAATGCAAATTATGTCTTCTTTTATTGCACAGGTCATTCTTAGTGAGACACAAGAACAGCAAGAAATAAGAAAGTTCCCCGGGCCCTTAACAAGGTAACTACAATTATTTTTAAAAGATATTACAGTTAAAGATATACTCTTTCATTTAATTGTTTGGTTCTGATACTACCTATTCAAAGGGAAGATTTGCACAAAGTGGATGCTATCGAGTTTGCCCACCAGATGGCAGGAGCGTGCTTGAGAGATGACAATCTGCGTGACAAGAGCTCTGCTGCCCTCCTGTGGAATTTACTCATACTTCTCTGCAGGCAAAATGGGGTCAGACATTTTTTAAATTATTAAATTATCGTTTTCCTAGGTATATACAGTATATTACAGACAAATTCTATACTAGGGTTGTCAAAAGTGTTGATACCAAGATACTAATCAGTGTTAAAACAAATATCAAATCTAGATACTCATTTGGACAAGGATCAATACTGAAGGAATCACATTAACAGGACAAAACTTAGAATGATCTTGATCTATTTCATATGGTGCTACTGAAAAAAGTAAATTTTTCTGCATTGAAAATTGCAGTATATTGTGTAAATAAGAAATCTAAATTCAGAACATATCAAGTTCACTAATACATGTATTTTTATCTTCTTATCTCCAGCAAATCGTGGGCTCAGACATAGCAGAGCTGCTGGTCCAGAGCTCTCGGGGAGTGGGTGGTGGTCAGTCAGACTCTGCCTCTCTCATAGACTTCAGCGAGGGCTCTGTGGCTGAAGCTCCGCCCTCTGAGGGAGAGGATGACCTGCTGACTGGACTCTGCAGCTCAGAGAGCGCACAGAAAGCCCTGAAGAGTTACACACAGCTGCTTCTGGCTGGAAGGAAGAAGGTCAATAACACAACCACTATATTTGTATTAAAGCTTTTCCCCAACGTTACACTTCTAATACATCACATTCATTTTTTTTTTTTGTAAGATTTACCAAAAACAAGTATACATTAAAAAAAAATCTACAATATGTAACTTTTAAGCTAAAAAATAGACTAATGAGCTAAAATAGTGTTCTTTTTCAATTTGTTTGTATTTACTGCAATGAAAACACTGACTACAGTTTTCCACAGTATTGCAGTATATTTATACACAGAATCTATGGTTTTATGGTTTCCATAGAATCATGCTGGTAACTTGAAAGTTACATGCAATACCTTTTAATAAAATAATATATTGCTAAAAGATATTAATCCAAATAAATTAAAACTGAAATTTAATTAAAATATTTCAGGAAAATATATAGATATGTTTTAATAAATTGCATGCATATACATCTATGTAAAAACAAACAAATAAGAAATGTCTCATTTGTTTGTTTACCAGGAAGCGCTGGAGTCTGCTATGAGCAGCGGTCTGTGGGGACATGCTCTGTTTCTGGCCAGTAGAATGGACAACAGGTCCTACACCACTGTACTGAACAGGTGAGACACACGACAGCTGCTAAAAGCCATTATACAAGTGATTACGAGCAGTCATTTTTGTAGAAATTCCCTCTCTGACTAAACTTAGATGTTTACAGTTTGTGGTTATACAAGTAGCATTCTTAGTTCACTTGTGTAAGGTTGAATGCCTGGTATTGACTTAGCTGTTTTGAAGCTCTGGTTTCTTCTTGCATTATGAAAAAAGATTAGAGGTGCAAAAAGGTGTCTCTGCTGAAGGATCTATTAACTTTATGAGATAGGTTTACAAAAATGTGACTTGTGTTTCACATAGAAGGAAACATGAGAACAGTCCTGAAGTGTTCTCACGACGCGTCCTAAAATAAATTAAAATGTGTCCAACTAGGACTTTGAATGTCACCTCTAACCTTTAGGCTTTGGCCATCTGTGTGCATCACTAAAATCATTTGTCACTTTATAAAGGCACTCATTTTTTCAAACCTAAGCACATGGTCTATTCTGACACTCCCTAGTTCATTTAGTTGACCTTTAAACTACAACAAAATGTAGTTTTTAGTAGTTAAAGGCACTGTGGCACTGTGTATCTGTTTTAAAAATGTTTAAAACAGAACTATTATTTGCAGTGATCCAAAATCATTCCTCAACATCTTAATTATTCTCCGTAGTGAGCTTTTCTTTTTTTTATTTTCTTTTTTTTATTATATTTTTTGTGCAGACAAATCAGATGCCACAGAAGTAGAAGAAAAAATAAATAAGTAATATAATTAATAGTAATATTAATAGTAATAGTCCTCTGTGGTTTTCCATATAATCAAAGAATTTTTTCCATATCTTGAAAAATAAATCTTGCCGTTGCTGTAATCTATAAGTCACCCTTTCATAGTTTGCAGTTTTAAGCATCCATTCTAACCATTTACTGAAAGATGATTGATTGGTAGATTTCCATTCCTGTGTTATCATCCGGCATCCTGTTATAAGAGCTATTCTACACCATAAAGTTTGTTCGTGCCGTAGTTGTTTTGTGGGTATGATTCCAAGTAGACAGAGTCCAGGGTTTGTGTTCCATGTGACATTTAACAGTTCATTAATAAGTCCAATTATTTGCTCCCAAAGGAGCTTGACTTTGTCACATTCATATAACATATGTATCATAGTTCCAGTAGCTTGATTGCATCGCCAACATTTATCATTGTCTTTTAAGTTCAGTCTAGCCATTCTGCTTGGAGTCCAGTAACATCGATTTAAAATTTTATAATTAATTAGTTGTGACTGAATTTCTTGAGATGTAAGAAACCAGTTGGATATTATGTTTTGCCATTGCTCTTGTTCTATAGGAATACCTAGGTCTCTTTCCCAGGCAGCCCTAAGACCACGGAGATTAGGAGCATTGGCACTCCTGATTATCTTATAGAAAGCTGCTGGGCTGCCTTTTTTAAAACATGCTGTTTTTAATAATTTCTGGATGCACGTTATATCATTTGGAGTGGATTTCAAAGCAGAACAGAGACTATGTCTAAGCTGCAGGTATTTATAAAAGTCTTGATTTGGTAGTTTGTGGTGCTCTTTCAAATGCTCAAATTCTACCATGCAGCCATCTTGGTAGAGATCTCCAAGGTGGACAATTCCTACCTCTGCCCATCGTGGCCAATAGATTGGTTTCCTTCCTATAGTTATTTTAGAATTGAACCATATAGAACTATCTGCTGTTAGAATATGGTTACTTTTTGTAATGCTATGTGCTTTAGACCAACTTTGTTTGGTAAAATCTAGTATGGGGTTATGAGTAGGGATTTGGTCTACCTGTTTGTGAAACAAAAGTATCTGTTCGAAAGGGGTTTAAAATTTCCCTTTCGATTTTCACCCACACAGGGGCTTCATTCTTAGGTAGGTTGCATTTAGATAATTGAGCAAGTGAGAAAGAGTATTGATACCATTCCATGTTGGGTAAGGAGAGCCCATCTTGTTCTTTAGCAGAGTATAATTTAGAGCGATTAACCAAGGGTTTTTTCCCCCTCCATACAAATTTTTCGATAGTTGAGTTATATTCTTTCAGTAGTCGTTTTGGAAGATTAAGGGGCAGCATATATATTAAATAATTTATCTTAGGGATGATTATCATTTTAATCAGGTTAATTCTCCCTATAGGGGAGATGAACAATTTATTCCAGTTATTTAAGAGGAGTTTAATATTCTGGATCACTGGTTCTAGGTTAAGTTGCATTATTTCCTCAAGATCTTTTGTAAGTTTAATTCCCAGATATGTCATGTTATTTGGTACCCATCGAAATGGCCATTGAATACTGGACATATGAGTTGCAATTGCTGAGATTGGCATTACCTCTGATTTAGACCAGTTGATTTTGTATCCAGAAATTTTAGAAAAAATATTAATCAATGAAATTATGAGAGGGATGGTAGCAGTGGGATTTGGTGAGACTAAAAGAAGATCATCAGCATAAAGGAATATTTTGTGTTCCTCTTGGCCAGCATGTATCCCTTTAATGTTTGGATTATTTCTGATTGCAATAGCTAGTGGTTCTAAGGCGATAGCAAACATGAGGGGAGAGAGCGGGCAACCCTGTTTTGTGCCTCTGAAGAGACGAAAGTGGGGGGAAGAGATCCCGTTGCTAAGAACAGAGGCAGTAATATTTTTGTGAAATAAATTAATCCAAGTAAGAAATGTAGGTCCGAATCCAAATTTCTTCATTGTGTATATTAGGTAGCCCCATTCAACCCTATCAAAGGCCTTTTCCGCATCTAAGGAAAAGGCCATGACAGGGTTAGGGTCATTTTTAGATTTATGTATAATATGAAGGAGCCTTCTTAAATTGTCTGCAGAGGACCGCCCCTTAACAAAGCCTACTTGATCTGGATGTATGATAGTAGGAAGTATTTTCTCCAATCTATTTGAAAGAATTTTTGTGAGGATCTTCCCATCTACATTTCCAAGTGAGATAGGTCTATAGTTACTGCACTGCTGTGGATCTCTTCCCTTTTTATGTATTACTGTAATCAAATTTCTATTCATTGTAGGTGGTAGTGTGTCCTTGAAAAGTGCATTATGGAATACAGCTAATAGTCTAGGAGAAAGTGTATCGCAAAACCTTTTATAAAAGTCTGGCGAGTACCCGTCCTCCCCTGGAGAGCGTCCTGATCTTAACCCATGTATTGCTTTTTTAACCTCTTCAATTGTTATTTCCTTTTCCATTAAGTTTCTTTGTGATTCAGATAACTTGGGTATATTGAGAGAGGAGAAAAAAGCATTGTATTGATCCTCTTCCACCTCTCCTTTTGAGGTGTAGAGAGTTTTATAAAACATCATAAAAAACATTGTTAATTTCCTTTTTCCCTGTAACCAGTATATTTTCTGAGTTGAAAATTGATGGAATAATATTCTGTGAGGCTAGTTGTTTTACTCGGTTAACGAGTATTTTGCCCGCCCTCTCCCCTTGTTCATAATACTTTTGCTTAGAGCGAAAGAGATCCAGTTCTACTTTTTTTTGTATAATACAGTTAATTTTATATTTTAATGATATCAGATTGTTCCAGATGTTTGGGTCTTGCTTTGTAGCATATTGTAATGTCAATTCTTTTAATTGTTTCTCAAGATGTATTAGTTGTTCCTGTTCTTTCTTTTTAAGGATTGAGCAATATTGTATAAGTCTTCCCCTTAAAACCACTTTGAATGCCTCCCAGGAGATATTGAGGTCAGGGTGATCCTCGTTATATGTCCAGTATTCATCCATTGCCAATTGTATAAACTTACATGCATCCTCATCTTGCAATAGTGAGTTGTTAAAGCACCAGTGTATATTTTTTGCCTCTTGATCAAGCATTGTAAATATTATATCTACTGGTGCATGGTCAGATATAGATATATTACCAATTGAAGCGTTTGTAATTTGGTTAACCAGGTTTTTAGATGTTAGTATATAATCTATTCTAGAAAATGATTTATGAGGACGAGAGAAGAACGTATAATCTCTTTCATTAGGGTAAAGTAGTCGCCATATATCAATCAAATTGAGTTCTTCTATCATTATGTCTATTACATTGCAAGATGATTCCGTTTTAGTATTATTTGTTTTATCCAATAGGGGATTTCTGACTTGATTAAAGTCTCCTCCTATTATAATGTTCTCATTACCTATATCTTTTAAAGTTTTACATAAGTTATTGAAGAAGTCAGATGACAAAACATTGGGTGCGTAAATATTCATAATAGTTAATTTTTGTTTATCAAGCTGTACATCTATAGCTACCCATCGACCCTCTAGGTCTGCATAACTCCCCATGACTTGTAGTTCAGAATTTTTATGTAACAGGATAGAAACCCCTCTGCTTCTTGTGTTGTATACACTTGAAAATACCTGACCTACCCAACCTTGTTTCAATTTTTCAGATTCTTTTCTATCTAGATGTGTCTCTTGTAGCAGTGCAATATCACATTTATTTTGTTTCAAGTAATTGAGGATTTTTTTCCGTTTAATGGGATGGTTACAACCTGAGATGTTCCATGAAATCAGCTTCAACCCCATAATTTAATAAGTGCATACTTCGACCTAATCAAGTTACTCATTTTTATTGTAGCTGAATAATTGAAACAAGGTAGAGGAGTAATAACAAAGATAAAATAAACAAAGAAATGAATCAAAATCTGGAGACAGATGACCCATAAACCCCTCTTAACCCCCCCACCTCCCTCATGTATTCCTGCCACCCCGGCAAGACCTCTCCCGCATTTTTTACTTTCCCGCTTATTTGCTTTCGATTTTCCTGCACCTCGAGTGGAAACTTTTTTTTTTTTTAAACTGATATTTAATAGAATAGAAGATAACCAAGTTCATTTACCCGCCATTATTGGGGTTTAACTAAGGAAGGGGCCTGTGTCTGTATTCATAGTATACCCTGGCCCCGTGACATTGTCCTTTTACCCTTTTATAGGATTTACTTTTTCTTTTTTTAGACTTGTTTATCTATGTCTCTATTACCATTTATGGTTTCATACCTAGTGCTGTTTT